CAAAAAATTAATCATATCTAAATATATAATTTTTAATATTAATTTATTATAAATTACTTATCTCATATTTAAATACAAAACACAAAATTTTTTTCATTTTTTATGTAACATAAAACTTTTTACTATTCTTATAATTAATCAATGAAATAATTCTATCTAAACTTCTACACAGTCTGTATTTTCTTTATACAAAACCAAAATACATTTTTATAATTAATATTAAGAAACAATCTGTCACGCCCCATAACCCAAATCCAAGGCGCGACAGACGCCGTGCACTCGTGAGAGGATCCCACAAATGCACAAGGCTCGGAATTTATTCAATTCACATCTGACAATCCAATAACTTAAATCATATATTTCAAAATAATTCTATGTCTAACATGACTTAAGCTCAAATTCTCAAGCTCAAATCTCTTGTAACTAACAATCCATTCAATGAATTTATAAAATCTCCAATTAAAATCCAATTTACAAGATCATGATCTATATCTAAAATCTATATCAATCTCGAAATGGCTAACCTTCTATCTCATCACTTCCCGTGGTTTCCTCATCCTCGGTTTCGTTTCCTGAAATGGTGGACAAGGAAAAACCATGAGATAAACTCAGTAAGTAAAATATGGAGTGCCCCTTATTAAACTTATAGCAAGCCAACAAGTGCAATCACGAAAATCAGATATGGGTACGGAAACAAAATAGACGTCTCCTCTATAAGTCATGGCCAGCGTATAACACCCACTGGCAGACGTCAAAATTTACCAATGTGTTCGCCCATTGGCAGGCATCGGAATTTATCGATCATATCAATAAACATGTCGACATGTGCTAGCGTTTAACCCCCACTAGCAAGGTCACTAATAACATGACCACATCGGTGACGAAGCAAGCAAAAGTTAATAGAAAAATCATAATTCACCAATCACTTTCAAATCATCAGGACAATCAATTAAATTTCAAGTAAGCATGTTCAATTTAATGAAAAGCATAAAAATTTTACTTCAAATCAATCATACTTACTTTTGCATAAAACGGGTTTAGTCTTGCCACCACTTCAAAAACAAGTCAAAACATACTTTTAAAAACAGTACGGGCATTACCATAAATTTACTTACCTCACTCACATAAAACCGAAGACTCGATCACAGTGCTAAACTGACAGAACAATCAAGAACCTAATCAAAATATCCAAAATTAACACCATGACTACCCCTGATCACGATGCTATTCCTATCGGTCTCCCATGATCAAATATCTCCAAATTTGTTCTTATATTACAAACTAAACATTTAAATCCCTGTTAATTGTAAGCCATTAGTGCATGAACAGTGCCTGTGAACAGTGCCAGTAAACAGTAACGTGAACAGTAACTGCACTTCCAAAAATTGACAAAGCCATAGCTAATCTCACGGGATTTTCTCCAAAAATTTCACAGCAATCAATTAACACTCAATCACATAAATCCCACTTAAAGCTACTGAAATTTCCCCATTTTTCCAGCAGATTTTCGGGCAACAATAGGGCAGCAATTAGATGGCTAATTTCAGCAGTTAAATGGGTAAATTTGGACTTAGAGAAGCTGCCACATACCACAATTTTCCAGCTGCAGAATCGGGCCTGGCAGGGGGAGAAGCTGGCGGCAATTGCAGGGGACTCACGGGGCTACCAAAATCTGGAGAAACAACAGATTTAACATGAACCCAAGCTAATTTAAGGCTAAAAGGATGGATTAATGGCTGTTCTTACCCAAAAATGCCCAGAAATCACACCCACAAGCTGCAGCTCACGGACAGAAGAGGGGGGAAACCGAGCAGATCTGGAAATTCTGCAGAGGGGGGAAGGTTTCTGGGTTCCTAAGTTCGGCTTTCAACAAGAAAAGAAGGTAAATCCATCAAGCTTTGCCGACTTTCTCAAGAGTAGGGCTGTCGGTGGCTGGGTTTCTTTTTTTTTTTTTGGGCTGCAGCGGGAAGAAAGAAGAGCAGAAACATGAAATGGCTGGGGAAAAAGAAGGAAAAAATAGCTGATCCTTATCCTAAAATTTTCCCTTTTTTAAGCCCCTTAAGTTTGGACATTTTGGCTATTAATCCCAAAACAATATTTTTTCACAATTTAGTCCTTAACTTCATGCTAAAATATCACAAAATTTTGGAGTATTACACAATCAACTTGCTAAAACACAAATTAAATATAATATCAAGAGATATCAGCTACCAAAGACAAAATTAAAGATTTAACAGCATTCTAGTTTACAATTTTAATTATTAAAAACAAATTTTATTTTATTTATTTACTTAAAAATACAAAAAATTCACAAAAAATTCAAAATAAAAAAAAATCAAAATACTCACTTAAGGAGTAGATTGGAAATTAATATGGCTGTAAATGCCTAGCTCCAATGATAAAGGCTCTAGATCTAAAGGAATAGATGGTTAGAATGTTGAATAAAAAAAAGAAAGATCAATCATCGAGATCACCAACCTCTAATTAGCTAGAAAATGTAACTTACCACTGTGGCTAGGTAGAAGAGATGCCTTACAATACAAAGGATGAAAAATGGGAGAAAAAACAGAAGAAAAGTGCAAAGGAGATTTGAGGGAGGGACGAGCGAAGTGAGGAAAAAGAAAGGCATGCATGAAACAGAGCAGCCGGACTGCTAATGGTTCATATTAGGCTGAGCTATGGGCCCCAGCATCAAATCGGATTGGAAATTCGTTGGGGTCATTTTCGGACGAATGTTGATCTAAAAAGGTTGAAAATATTTAGATCAAAATCGGTTAGAATATTCATCAACGTGTATGGCAATCCACAAGAAAATATATGTGGACAAAATTTGGTCTGTATATATTATTTAAATAATATTTTATTCATAAATTTTGTTATTTAATAATTATTTTTTAGAGAAAAAATATTTAAACTATTTTCGATCCATATAATATTGGTACATTTGCACTGTTGTTGGCGCCAACAATATACAGATCACTGATGGTTCAAATATATTGATTCATGGAGTTGGTTCCACCTCAATATATTTGGATCATTTTTGGTTCGAATATATATTTATACAGACCAACTGAAATCAGTTCTATATGTTCGGTCTTAATTACTTATTTTTCTAGTAGTGAGAAGGAATATATTACTAGGTAAAACCAAAAATTTAAGAAGCAAAATGGTGCATATTAAAATTGTGAAAACCTAAACACTTAAAAAATGAATATTATTTTTTCAAGAAGAAAATGAATGCACCAACATTATCAAATGACAAATTTATTGCTATGATTTCTACCATTAATCGCATGGAAGATGATGTTATTTCACTACTGCAGGAATGGGATTTCCGAACCGAAATATTGGTCCGGATATATAGGAAATCGGTTTGAATATATATATACGGACCGATATTGGTCCTTATAGTTGATCTGAAAAAACCTGGTACGAATAAGTGTAATACACAGACCGACGTATAATCGGTTCGTATATATATATTATCCGGACCGAAATCGGTCCAGATATTTTAGTAAGAAATATAAATAATTATTGAGAAATTGAAATAAGCGGACCGAAATTGGTCCCAAAAAAATAATATAATAAAATAATAAAATATATACGAACCGATAACGGTCTGTAACTGTGGCGGGAAGAGGCATCGCAAATATATACGGACCAGGATCGGTCCGAATATTGAGGACCCAGCTGCAACTTTTAAAACTTGCAACTATATCCAAACCGTTATCGGTCTGAATATATTGGACTTGCCTGCAACTTTTAAAAGTTTCGTCTCCCAACCAGCGCCATTCTCAACCTATATCCAGACCGTTTTCGGTCCGAATATTGTGGACTTGCTTGTAACTTTTAAAAGTTTCGTCTCCCAACCGGCGCCATTCTCAAACTATATACAGACCATTTTCGGTCCGAATATTGTGAACTTGCTTGTAACTTTTAAAAGTTCCGTCTCCCAACAGGCGTCATTCTATAAATATATCCAGACCGTTTTCGGTCTGAAAATATCTTTGAAGAAAAAAAAATAAAAACAGTAAAAAATAAAGAAAACA